AAACAAAACTTCCAGAACACGGCCACACAGCCCGGAAGACCCACACCAGCTATCATATGCTGGCCGTGAAAGCCTTCGACAATACATGGAGTTTAATCTCTACCCAGTTAGTTTCTCTACTCCCTTCTCTCCTGTCCTGGATTTTACAAGCAAACAACAGAAACCCAGTGGAGGCACATTTTCCTAGGCTGGTACCACGACCATTGTGCGTGTCCAAGCCCTAATCCAGCGGAAGGGTGGATCAAGCTGGGACTCAAGGCTCTTGCCTATTGGATGAGCAGAAGAAGCAAGCAGGTGGGGGAAAGCCGTATTCTGGAGCCTGCTCCATGTTTACCCTCTCCAATTCAGGAAGAGAATCGGTCTGGCCAGCATTGCTGAAGAGAGTGGGTCACTGGGGCAAACCACCCCCGGAGCGCTTCAGCTGATCAACCAGGACAGCAGGGTTCAAGTTTGCCAAAAGTGAACATAGTGCAAAGCTAAACAAAACAAACTTAAGGGCTTCTTTGTCCCCAGGAGGGAACAGCAGATTGCTCCATGTGAGGTATATCTCTGCCTTGTCTTCATCCCGGCCAGGCACCTTCCCTGGAGCACTTTCCAAAACACAGAGAACCGGGAAGGCGTTCCCAGCTGGCAGAGCAGACTCGGAGCAAACAGTTCAGAAGGTCTCATGAACGTGATGGGGGCGAGTGACGGACCGGCTGGCATCCTTGCACACCACACCCATGATTCGCTACATTTCACAACGTTCTTGGAGATGGAGGGAACGACGCCCGAGTCCTCTTTCTGCCTTCTGCAAGCATTTCTTGGAAGAAGAGAAAAGAGGGCCGGGCTCCAACAGGATGTGTGAAAGCCATGACTACATTTCCTCTAGCGTGTTTTGCTCCAACGTTGCGTTCCAGGATATGAGCCAACCGTTGAAAATGATGCAGCATCGTTTTGTCTCTGCTGATAGGACATAATCTGAGGCAAGGTTCCCCAAGGGTTAGCCTTGGAAGATGCAACATTACAATAGAGTGTCTCTTGTTCAAAGTGCTGAGTGTGCTTTTTCCATTCTCCTACGTAACATCAACTAGCTCTACTGGGCTGAGGATTGGGGGAGAGAAGAGTCAGAACGGAGGATGTGATGTTGAGGCTGGCCTACAGTTTGCATTATCAAATCAAATCAAATGGCAGATCTTCTTGCTAAGGGTCGTTCTAACACTACCCAAGGTACAAAAGTGATTGGGCATGTTCTCCCTTCACTATAAACACAAGGGCAGTCTGAATCATGGTAATATTTGTGCCAAAAGGGTGGTGTGTGTATGTGTGTGTGAAACGAAATTGAAAGTGTAGTGATTAGCAAACCCTAAGATGATTATTGGGGCTTGGGTCGGCTAAAAAGCATTGGGACTCATGTTACTCCAGCAAGCCTGCCCCCCGAATGGCCACATCCGCATTTGGGGTGTTCTTCAAGACTTCCTGCACCTTAACTCAGAAGTAGACATATAAGATCAAAATTAACATGGGAAAGAAGTCTGCAAGGAGACAGAATATGAAGTCCAGACCTCTTGGAAGCTGGAGGGGGGGAGAGGAAAGGGGGGGGAACGGGAATTTGGGGAGCTGCTGTCCCAACATCTCTGGGGTCTCCTGCTTATGGGAGGCAGGTATGGAACATCCCATCTGCTTCCTCTCTGCAGAAGGGAAGCTATTTTTCCTCTCCTGCGGTCTTTTTCAAACTTGGCAACTTTAAGATGAGTGGACTTCAACTCCCAGAATTCCCCAGCCAGCATACTCAGGAGCTCTATTGCTCGTGGTGGGAAGAAGGAAGGCGAGGAATGCCATGGAGCAGTTGCAGAATCTCCTCCACCACCTTCTAAGTCAATTTGGCAGCAGTTGGGGCCGTGTCTTGCTGCTGCTGTTTTGCCCCCTATCCTTCTCCTTCTCCTTCCCCTCTAGAAGAGCACAAGGGATCAGGGAGATCTGCAGGTTCTGCTGCAAGACAGACTGCTCAAAGGCAGTGTTTCTCAACCTTGGCCACTTGAAGATGGGTGGACTTCAACTCCCAGAATTCCGAGACAGGCAGGGGGGTTCTGGGGGTAGGAGGGCACCCATCTTCAACTGGGT